TTCAAGTAATTTAACAACCGGTTCTCTGCCCTAATGATTTCTTCCAACAACCAGTTTGCCAAACTGCTCAGAAAGTTAACAACCGGTTCTCCCGAACTGGCTGAATCCCCCCCCCCACTGCTCCCAGCAATCTTCTCACTGCTAATCCTTCACTAATGATAATAATTGCTATTTGTACAACCATTTTGAGTGTTTTGCATAGATGACACACAAACCTGCAAAGAGGGATGGAGTTTTAGATATATTACAGGTCATAATACTAAAAATAGGTCCTTACCAAAGCAAAGGTCACTTCATGGGAGAATAGTTGGAGGTGAAATTTGAATTGGGACAGCTTATATTTTCCAGTGGCTGTTCCCAGGATTAGGGACTCTCTGCCAAGGGTTGCCTAGCTAATTACATTTTTTGCTTGTACTTCTTTTGTCAAACACAAAAGGTATTTTATTCAGGAGGAATTTTGGCTTTTCGTGCCAAATTTCTGGCTGATTTAGCTTTTTAACTGATACTTGAGCTGTTTCCTCAAATGATACATTAGTTATCCACTGTGAAATGACATATTCTTTCATTTCAGGTGACATGGCCCTTCTTAAGCACTCAAAGTAGGAAGCCATGATCTACCTCGGAGGTGTGAAACTCAAGGCCTTGGGGTCAGATTTGGCCCACTGAGTGCTTAGATCTGGCCTGTAGGGCCATCTTGGAAACAGCGAAAGACTGGCCCGTGAGGCCTCTGCCGACGAAAACAGAGCTTGGGAGGGCCACACGCAGCCCTCCCGAGGTCCGTTTTCACTGGCAGAGTGCTTGGATCTCCACAGGCGCCCCTGACATGAGTGACATCGAGCTGGCTACACCCACCCTGGCCACACCCACCCCAGCCCTCTCAGGTCAAACACAACCCTGATGCGGCCCTCAATGAAATCGAGTTTGACACCCCTGATCTACATTGATAAATGATTTCCAATTCACCTGCAATTTAAAAACTACTAGGGATTAGGGAAGTAATGCGGTGGCTCTGTGGCTAAGACACTGAGCTTGTCAATCGAAAGGTCGGCAGTTCAGCGGTTCGAATCCCTAGTGCCGCGTAACGGGGTGAGCTCCCGTTACTTGTCCCAGCTTCTGCCAACCTAGCAGTTCGAAAGCACGTAAAAAATGCAAGTAGAAAAATAGGGACCACCTTTGGTGGGAAGGTAACAGCGTTCCGTGCCCCTTTGGCGTTATGCCGGCCATATGACCACAGAGATGTCTTCGGACAGCACTGGCTCTTCGGCTTTGAAACAGAGATGAGCACCGACAGAGGTGGGTTCTATTTATCTACCGGTTCGCAATGGGATCGCGCATGCGCAGAAGCTGATGACGACATCTGGGGTGGTGGGTGGGGCCTCCCACCGGTTTTACTACCAGTTCTTGCGAACTGGTCCTAACCTGGGGCAACCCACCACTGAGCCCTGCCCCCTAGAGTCGGGAACGACTAGCACATATGTTCGAGGGGAACTTTTACCTTTACCTTTAGGAATTAGAGAATCCGAAACCGCATCATATTCATTGAGATAATGGATTTTCGGACTGAAACTTCCCTTTGTAAGAAGATACCCAGATATCAAAAGCGGAACAAATCTTGTTAAATCTTTCCTTGACAATTGGAACTCCGCTGTGCCAGGAACTTCCAGAGCAATAACTGGCAATACATCTGGGAAACGGGAGATGGATGTGAAAATTCAATGAAGTCTTAACCTGAACTCTTCTGTCATTTATCAACTATATTAAGCCCCAGAATAGGTGGGAGGGGAAGAGGTCTACTTTGTGGAGTATAACGTGGGTTTGTTGGAAATGCCTCTTTTGCCATTCACTCTGTAAAAAAAAAGATCTATTGGTGTCTTCCTTTTGGCAATGAATAAAAATATGCCATTATTTTGTATACTCCTATGGATAATATATTAGCCAATCTGGAATTTCACACAACTGTCAGCGAGCATGGGAGGTGTTTCTGCCTTCAGTGCATTAGTTTGGCAACTTGAAGAATATTTTCTAGAGTATTGAATAAGGAAAAATTGCAATAGCTATAGCACTTAGTGTCAAGTATTTGCAAGCCATTGGCACATGTGTCATATAGACACCAGTGGAGGCAGAGAGTGTCTCCACCCCTATGTGGAAAGGAGGGGCTTACCCTGAGTATAAAACCCCCTCCAACCTTTTCCACCTTGCACTCTCTCCATCTCTCTCTTTTCATATTTGTTCCTCATGAGACTTGATCTCTGTTGTACAGAGTTAATATGATTTATCATATGAATAAATACGTTTAAGACATTTATTTATGCATCTGCCTCTGAACTCTTCTATGCTCCTGGGTGTTTCTACGATCCCAATTCCACACTTAGACTTATATACCTCTTTACAATGTTTTACAGCCCTCCCTAAGTGGTTTACAAAGTCAGCATATTGCTCCCCAACAATCTGGGTCCTCATTTTATCGACCTCGGAAGGATGGAAGGATGGGTTAACCTTTAGCCAGTCAGGAATCAAACTCCTGGCAATATGAGCAGAGTTAGCGTGCGATACTGCATTGTAACCACTGGGGAGGGAGGAAGGAAGGAAGGAAGGAAGGAAGGAAGGAAGGAAGGAAGGAAGGAAGGAAGGAAGGAAGGAAGGAAGGAAGGAAGGAAGGAAGGAAGGAAAGAATAGCACAGACTTATACACCACTTCACAGTGCTTTTACAGCCTTCTCTAAGTGGTTTACAGAGTCAGCGTTTTGCTCCCCAACAATCTGGCTCCTCATTTTACCAACCTCGGAAGGATGAGTCAACCTTGAACTGGTCAGGATCGAACTCCTGGAAAGTCAGCAGAATTAGCCTGCAATACTGCATTCTAACCACTGCACCACCACGGTTCTTAAATTTATTATTTGGAAGTATGGTGGATCCAAAGGTACTTTTTCCAAAAGGCAGATGGACTGTCCTGGTTTTTTTTTTTTTTTCTTTGAAAACGTTTCGCTTCTCATCCAAGAAGCTTCTTCAGTTCTTAAGAACTGGAGAAGTTTCCTGGATGAGAGGTGAATTATTTTTTAAGGTCCAGTTGACTTTTAGAAAAAGCACCTTTGGGACAACCATGACCTGGATGATTGAGAATCTCCAGAGACAACCATGGTGGACATTTTCTGTGAAATGTCTCTGCATTAAGCGGGCCAGATATTTTATATCTGCATAGGGTTTGTTTTCTAGATTCTAGAACTGTGATGGTGAACCTATGGCACGCGTGTCCGAAATGGCATGTGAAGCCATGCCACCCGGCATGCACGGCCTTGGCTGTTTGTCTTCCAGGTTTTTGGCGCACATGCGCGTGTGATGATCAGCTGTTCTTCGCACGCACAGCAGTGCCGAAAACCGGTCTGCGCATGTGCACCAGCCAGCTGATTGTTGGGCAAGCATGCACACTAGAACCTGCAAGTTCGGCTTTTCCTGAGCACGGCCCCGACGAGTGCGCGCCCAAGATGTTTCCACACAACCATTCCATCACTGTTCTAGAACATTCTGGATGGGGAATTCTGGGAGTTGAAGTCCACACATCTTAAAATTGCTCAGTTTGAGAAGAACTGCTGTAGAATAACCTTCGCTATCACTGACCTTCTCCATATATATAGACAGTTCTTAGAATTCTTAACAACCTAAAACTTTGATTTTATCTCTCTCTGTTTCACGCACACACAAAAATACACACTGGTTAAGCAGGTTTCAGATGGAACAGGCCAAATCTGAATTCATGTATCTTATGAATCTTATATACAAAATTTACATAAGGATTATAACAAGTGAAATTAATTGAGATTCCACACTTCTCTTCCTTCTATTTTGGGTCATTCGATTTAAATTTCACTGTATAATGAAGTTTTATTGCATCTTCTCCATTTCAAGTGATTTTAGTCTCCTTTGATGAAGACTGCAAAAAGCAGAAGAGGAGATTAAAAACCTAATTTCTGCACACACACACACACACACAGACACACACACAAAGGAAATGCCACAACGTTAAAAATGCTGCGAGGCTTTACAAACACATACCCCCTCCTCCCCAAAGAAGCATATATACCTGTAGAATCCAAACTGCCACAAAACAACTGCCTTTGTTTTCAGTAAAACTGAAAAACATCCAATTCTGCAGTCATTTGAAACACATCAGGAGAAGTACAGAAATTATTATAGCAGCTGCGGTATGCAATGTACTTAATTTTGATGTCTTTCTGGAATATTGGTTCCGATTCAGGCTTTGCACATCTGTTGGCATCATGGGAGGTGTATTAAAGAGAATTATGTGCAATTTCTTGGCATACTTGTAGAATGCCTTCCAGCAGCCAATCCTTCTTTGAGTGACTTGTGGTAAAGAGAATTGGTGTGTAGTTTAAATAGAGAACGGAGCTGGTTAATACAGAATGAGTTGAAGTAGAGGGAGTTAGTTCAAGTTAGATGGATGTGCTTTCCTTAGCATAGGATGTCCTCCTCCTGATGAGTTTACATACCTTAAAGCAGGGTGTTTTATTTTTACCTTATTATGTTCGTAATAACAGACAAAGCTGTTTTCAATGTCTGATGGACAGGATTGAATATCTCTCAAGTTCAAATCGAGTCCCTGTTTTTTGCCTTAATTTCTACTTAGTTTGAACCACATTAAAGAGAGAGCAATGGGTGGAAACTAATCAAGGAGAGAAGCAACCTAGAACTGAGGGGAAATTTCCTGACAGTTAGAACAATTAATCAGTGGAATGATTTGCCTCCAGAAGTTGTGAATGCTCCAACACTGGAAGTTTTTAAGGAGATGTTGGATAACCATTTGTGTGAAGTGGTGTAGGGTTTCCTGCCTGGGCAGGGGGTTGGACTAGAAGACCTCCAAGGTCCCTTCCAACTCTGTTATTCTATTCGTTTTAGGCGGTCTGTAAAACTCAGTCCTCTCAATGCAGGCCTAACGTTCTCGTTCTAATAACGTGCTCTTTCTATGTTGTGTGTCTTCCTTTTCAGGTGATTATAAACAGCACCATCACACCTAACATGACTTTCACAAAAACATCCCAGAAGTTTGGCCAGTGGGCTGATAGCAGAGCCAACACCGTCTTCGGCCTGGGTTTTTCTTCTGAACAGCAGCTGACAAAGGTAGGTAAATTGGAGTTTGCTTTCGTATGCGTTTGGGGGCAGTGGTTGTTGCCAGGGTGTGTGTGTGTGTGTGTGTGTGTGTGTGTGTGTTACATTTCTTTTTGGTAAACTCTGCAATAATCTCACCAAATTAAAAGAAGAGGCATATGGATCCAGTGGGAGTCTTGCTGATAAATTGGAACTTCTTCCATTTTTTCCCCCTTAATTAACAGGCAACTTCTCCCTGGGAAGGTGATTAATTTCCTATAATTAGCTGGTGGGAAGTGGCTTGTGGGTGGTGCTAATGATCTTTTTTCTATTTTAATTATTTTGGGAATGCCTGATGCTCCATCCCTGCTTTGGGATAATCTGCTCCTGCAAATCACTGTATGTGGGGGGGGGAGGCTCTTTATTTCTCTAGTCCAGGGGTGTCAAACTCAATTTCATTGAGGTTCTGTTTGACTTTGGGGGGCAGGGGGGCCATGGCCAGATCGATGTCATTCGTGTCGGGGGCGCCTGTGGTGGCCCGAGCGCTCCACTAGTAAAAATGGGCTCCCGAGCTCCATTTTCGGGTACGACAGTTTTCGATTGCCTCCTGCACCCCTCTGCCAGTGAAACCGAAGCTCAGGAGGGCCACCCGCGGCCCTCCCATGCTCCGTTTTTGCTGGCAGAGGCACCTCAGGCCGGTCCTTTGCTGTTTTCAGGGTGGCTCCACGGGCCAGATCTAAGCACCCCGCAGGCCGGATCCGGCCCCCCCAGCCTTGAGTTTGACACCCCTGCTCTAGTCCATCCCAAGACAGATTCATTGGGGTAGAGTTGATTTTTTTAATTCTTTCCCCCTTCAGTGACTATCAATAAAAACTACCCTGTTTCCCCGAAAATAAGACCCAACTGGAAAATAAGCCCTAGCATGATTTTTCAGGATGCTCGTAATATAAGCCCTACTTCCCAAAATAAGCCCCAGTTAAGATTGTCAGCCAGATGGATACATTTAGTACCATATTTCCCCCAAAATAAGACCTAACCAGAAAATAAGCCCTAATGCGTCTTTTGGAGTAAAAATTAATATAAGACCCGGTCTTATTTTCAGGGAAACACAGTATCAAGTAGTCTTACTCATCAATGGAAGGAGATAATTACTTGAGTCATTCTTTTAGTTAGTTCCATAGTCCATCTTTCTTCCAGGAACTCAGATACTTCTTTGGTGAGGTTTGTCTCCTGAAACCCAACCCTGTGGATTAACACAGGACTGAGACATTGTCCCTGGATATTCTGTCTTTAGCCATGTTATTTCCCCCCCTGTATGTTTTACATAATTGGCTGGGCTCAGACATCACACAAAGCTGAACATCTCCAAACTCCAACCGGACCAACAACAATAACAGCAAAAATCTCATGGCTTAGCTTCACCCATCATTGTTTAAAGCAGTGGTGGGATTCAAACTTTTCTACTACCGGTTCTGTGGGTGTGGCTTGGTGGGCGTGGCATGGTTTGGTGGGCATGGCAGGGGAAGGATACTGTAAAATCTCCATTCCCTCCCCACTCCTGGGGGAAGGATACTGTAAAATCTCCATTCCCTCCCCACTCCAGGGGAAGGTTACTGCAAAATCCCCATTTCCTCCCAATCAGCTGGGACTGAGACAGGGAATAGATGTAGGTGGGGCCAGTCAAAGGTGGTATTTACCGATCCTCCGAACTACTCAAAATTTCCGCTACCGGTTCTCCAGAACTGGTCAGAACCTGCTGAATAGCACCTCTGGTTTAAAGATGATGCGCTGAAACCAATGAGAATTGACATTAACCATTATCTGTGGGATTGGGATAAGGCAACAAGTGTCAGGTAAATTGGCAAGCGAAGAGACGTGTCTAACCTCCTCTTTGCTGTTTAAGCAGGAGGGGACAAGGACATGCCGTAGAAAGTAAAGTGTTGGTGATTGTGTGACTGTAGTCTTTTTTTCAGCATTGACAAAAGATGTAAAAGAAAGATTGCTGTAACGTGAGCCAAGTAATTGTTTGGTAAGCAGCAGTTTGCTGCTTTCCTTTCTGCCTTGAGACAAAAGTCAGGGCAAATAATCATAGTGCTTGTCCCTGCTCTAAAAGAGGCCCTTATCTTGACACAGAGCAAACAGGTCCTGTAAAAAATGCAAAGCATTCAGCCATTAACAGCCTGAGATTGCTATTGGTTGTCTGGATGAAATGCCCTTGAGCGTTCTAAGAATTCCCCGTTAATCATGCCCTTCTCAACCCTGAAAGTTTGAAAGGCTATGAGATATTAGAACAGAGGCCACATTGCCGGCCAATTCAGCTGTAACCTCCCCTCCTTAAGCGGGAAGGAAGGTCTGGTTGTTGCACAAGCCAAACCTTTATGGAGTTTGCAACCTTTCTGTGTGTGACTCTGCCCTTGTGTGCCCCAGACTTCTTTCTTCCTTGTTTTTTTTTTTTCCTAATTAGGAACAGGGGACTCATTTTGTGGCTGAATGTATAATGTTCCCCAGGCAACATTTCTCCACCTTCAGCTGTGATGGGAGAGGCTGGTGACTGTGCCCGTAAACTGTAGTTGACTTCATTCACATGTAATACTTCTTGTTTTGATTTCATTAAACATTAAATCCATGACATATTTAATTGTTTCCCCGTTCCAAAAAGAGAAGCAAGGCAATTGGGTAATAGCAGTGGTGGGATTCAGCCGGTTGGGGCCAGTTCGGGCAAAGCGGTAGTTAAATTGCTGTCTGGTCCCGCACCGCCTCTTCCAGGAGTCCCAACGCACACCATTTTGGCTCCCAGGTAAATGCAGGGAGGCCTACTAGGCCCAAAACAGGGTGTGGGAAGGCGGTGCAGCCCCCTGTGGCCCATTTTTGCTCCCAGGAGGCTACAGGTAGGCCTACTAGGGCCAAAATGGGGCACGGGGGTCGGCGCATCCCCCTGGCAGCCTGTTTTTGCTCCCAGGGTGCAGGAGGCCAAGTGCTGCCTGTCACAAACCCTGGCCACGCCCACCATGGCCACGCCCACCCAGCCGCTCATTAGGGCAGAGAACCAGTTGTTAAATTATTTGAATCCCACCACCGAGTAATAGTTTTTAGAAGACCCTGCTCTGGGCCATTGCAAACATCTGGAAGCCCCAAAGCCCAGAAGCAATTTTGAATGCCAAATATTTTCTGTTAAATTTATATATACTGACAAAGAAAGAAAGGGAGACTAGTATAGATCTATTTCAAGCTATTTAGCTCTCATCAGCTAGCCATACCCTTTTGGGATTTGAACCTGGGCTTGCTTGCATATTAGGCAGATGTGTTAACCTCTAAGCCACAGGTTCTCCTCGCTTTGTCAGCTTGTACCAGGGGAGATTCAATGGGTTGTCTATCGAAGCAACCTGGTCTACCCAAATATGTCTGGATGTCTGTCAGAGAATGTCTTGGGGTCATTGAAATGCAGGACTGCGTTTCAGGGATGGGTGCTTGTGCATATTTAGGAAGCCAGTTTGAACTGCTGTACAACATTCTATTTTTTTTTTTTCATTATTGTAAATGGCTTTTCTAATTGGACTTGAGGCATGGGACTACAACTAATTCTTCTTGGACCCTTAACCAGAACCACTGCATTTTTTCTTCCTATCATTCTCTTCCACCTGAGATTGACTGGAAAGATAAATAACCTCTTAAGGTTTTGTTTTTCTCTCTCTCTGAAAAGCCTAAAAGCTTCCCAATTCATCTAAATGGATCGTGGTCCTTTTCCATTACCTCAAAAGTAATCCACAGATCCGTGGCTGTTTATGGCTCACAAAACCTGTCTTCCCTCAGTTGTCAAAAGTCACCATTCAATGAATGTTTAAGATGACCCAGAAGGAAAATGATCAAACATAGGAAAGGGTAATAATGTCCTTAATGAACTAGTTTCATTTAATTTTAATTATATTGAAGGAGCAAAGAGGGCCGCTATGACGCAGCATCCATTTCAGCCGGTTTTTGCAGAGATAATGGTGGTAGAAAAATAGGATATTTGTTTCCTTTTTCCTCTCCTCAAGTCTAGCAATAACTTTTAGTGATGGATTACACAAATCTACGTTTTATAAATGTGATCTCAGCCACAGGGTTACTATAAGGCTAACTGACAAATTATATTCACAGTCAGGATTTATAACTCTTGGTTTCAAATGAATATTTATATTCCCATTTTCACCCTGCCCTGTTAAAGCCAATAAAAAGATGCTTTGGTGGAAAATTGGAGGGGTGGAAGGGGGCCACAATCAAAGGGAGGGGAAAAGAAATAATGATAATGCATATTTGCACTTCAGCTGAAACAAAAACATCGTTTTGATTTCCTTTCTGCATTTGATCTGCTCTTTTATTGCCCGTCCTTCCCTCCCTCCGACATTAATTGTAGGTTAATGTGTTGAGTGATCATAAAATGTTGGGCAGTGGATTAAATATTGCTTCCTTTGTATTTGTTCTATGCATTTCTCCTTCCTTCCTCCTCCTCCTCCTCCTTTTCATTTTCATCTTCATCTCTTCCTCTTCTTTTTCCTCCTCATTCTTCCTCCTTTTCTTCCTCCATTTCCTCTTCTTCCTCTTTATTTTCATCTCTTCCCTCTTCCTGTCCCTTTCCTTCTTCACCTGCCTTCTCCTTCCTCTCTTTCTTCCTCTCCCCTTTATTTTTACCTTCAACTCTTTTCTCTTTCTACCTTCTCCGTCTTCTTTCTCCTCTTCCTTCTTCTCCTCCTTTCTTTTTCCTCCTCGCAATTCATTTTCAGTCTCATCTCTTCCCTCTTCTTCTCTTCCTCTTCTTTCTTCTTTTCCTTTCCCTTCCTCTCTTTCCTCCTCCTTCCCTTCATTTTCTTGCTCATGTCTCCCTCACTCTTCTTTCTTTTCCTTCTCTTTTTCCTTCTCCTTCACTGATGATGCTATCTACTTGGGTAATGAAACATCTGCAAGAAAACAAGAAAGTTCAGAGAGCAACAAGGACTCCTTCTTCTTCCCCTCCTCCTCCTCCTCTCCTTTCCCTTTCTTTCCTTCTTCTCCTCTTTTAAGAATCTTCCATTTCAATTCAGCAATGTACTTCACACCTGTTTTTGCCTCTCTTAATATTCTTAGTGGGACATAGTGGCTCAGTGGCTAAGATGCTAAGCTTGTCGACCGAAAGGTCGGCACTTCAGCGGCTCGAATCCCTAGTGCCGCGTAACGGGGTGAGCTCCTGTGACTTGTCCCAGCTTCTGCCAACCTAGCAGTTCGAAAGCAGGTAAAAAATGCAAGTAGAAAAATAGGGACCACCTTTGGTGGGAAGGTAACAATGTTCCGTGCGCCTTTGGCATTTAGTCATGCCGGCCACATGACCACGGAGACATCTTCGGATAGCGCTGGTTCTTTGGCTTTGAAACGGAGAAAAGAAAATAACAGTAGGTGGTAATGAATGGCATGGTTTATAGATTTTCAGGGTAGGGGTGGGAGAAATCAGCATTTGCTGAATAACTACTGGTGTTTCTGCATATAATAAACCATAAACCATGGTTTGCAAGCCGCAAGCTAAGCAAAAACTGAATGACGGATTAGCTTATTGGGTGAATTCTTAAGAGCCAGCAAATGCTATATTAAAATAATTAGATTCTAAGGTCCTTTAGGACACTTTCTTATAGAGGAACAGAAAGTGCATTTATCTACCTTTTTCCAATGGCTGAGTATTTTTCTTTTTTTCCTACTCTTTAATATTCATGGAGATTGAATTCTGAATTGGAGCAAGCTAATATGTCTACTGAAGTCTTATGTCTGTGTATGCCTAAGTTTACTACAGTTGATCAGCCGCCTATGAGACCAAGACATAACCCAACGTAAAATGCATTTCCCCACTTTCATAGCTCTAGAATCCAAAGGCTAAGGCAATGTTTTGATCTTTGTGTTCCCGTTTAGTTTGCTGAGAAGTTCCAGGAGGTGAAAGAAGCCGCTCGACTCGCCAGAGACCGGTCGCAAGAAAAAATGGAAACTTCCAGTAACCATTCGCAAGTAAGTCATGATCAAGTGAGATACTAATACCACTCTATAAAGCCCTAGTAGGATCACACCTAGAGTACTGCATTCAATTTTGGTCACCACACTATAAAAAAAATGTTGAGACTCTAGAAAAAGTGCGGAGAAGAGCAACCAGGATGATTAGGGGGCTGGAGATTAAAACATATGAAGAACAGTTGCAGGAACTGGGCATGCCTAGTCTAGTGAAGAGAAGGACCAGGGGAGACATAATAGCAGTGTTCCGATATTTGAGGGGCTGCCACAGAGAGGAGGAAGGGGGTCAAGCTGTTTTCCAAAGCACCTGAAGGCCACACAAGGAATAATGGATGGAAACTGACCAAGGAGAGATTCAACCTAGAAATGAGGGGAAACTTTCTGACAGTGAGAACAATCAACCAGTGGAACAGAAGTTGCCTTTGGAAGTTGTGGGAGCTTCATCACTTGAGGCTTTCAAGAAAAGATTGGACTGCCATTTGTCAGAAATGGTGGAGGGTCTCCTGCTTGAGTGGGGGGGGTTGGACTACATGATCTATAAATTCCCTTCCAACTCTGTTAATCTGTTAAATCTGTTAAAATCTGTTCTCTATTAAAGGATGGGGGAAGGACTGATTGATCATGTCAAGCTTGCAAAAGGGAAAAAGGCAAGTTTTTGACTGAAAGCTTTAAGCTTTTTTATTATTTATTTATTTATTTAGTTTGTCAAACATGTACGAGATAACAGGAATAAGTTAAACATGGATATTAATACAGGAAATGGTAACGAATAAATGGGGGACAGTAGGACAGGGACGGAAGGCACGCTGGTGTGCTTATGCAGGCCCCTTACAGACCTCTTAGGAATGGGGTGAGGTCGACAGTAGACAGTTTAAGGTTAAAGTTTGAGGGGTTTGAGGATGTAACAACAGAGTCAGGTAGAGCATTCTAGGCATTGGCCACTCGGTTGCTGAAGTTGTATTTTCTGCAATCAAGTTTGGAGCAGTTTACCTTGAGTTTGTATCTATTGTGTGCCCGTGTATTGTTGTGGTTGAAGCTGAAGTAGTCATTGACAGGTAGGACGTTGTAGCAGACAATTTTGTGTGCTACGCTTAGGTCAGACTGTAGTCGGCGTAGTTCTAGGTTGTCCAAGCCCAAAATTTTGAGCCTGGTGGCATAAGGGATTCTATTGTGAGCAGAGGAGTGGAGGACTCTTCTCGTGAAATAGCTCTGGACTCGTTCAATTGTATTAATTTAAGAAAAAAAAAGCATTTCAAACCCGAGCTACAAATATTCTGCTTTATTGGTGTGTTAAAAATCACAGGAAGAAGATCCATTTGATTACGAAGAAGGGATCATATTGAACTGTTTTAATCCTCCCAGCTCAGATTTAACTCTCCCCATATTAAAAAAAAAGTTAACACCTCCTGAGAAAAAGATTCTCAATGTGCCCCGCCCTTGTCATTTGCATCCCTTTATATACTGTTGTTGTTGTTAGTTATGAAGTTGTGTCCGACCCATCACAACCCCATGGACAACGTTCCTCCAGGCCTTCCTGTCCTCTACCATCCTCTGGAGTCCATTTAATCTCACACCGACTGCTTCAGTGACTCCACCCAGCCCCCTCGTTCTCTGCCGTCCCCTTCTTCTTTTGCCCTCCATCGTTCCCAGCATTAGGCTCTTCTCCAGGGAGTTCTTCCTTCTCATTAGGTGGCCAAAGTATTTGAGTTCCATCTTCAGGATCTGGCCTTCTAGAGAGCAGTCAGGGTTGATCTCCTCTAGGACTGACCGGTTTGATCGCCTTGCAGTCCAAGGGTCTCACAGGAGTCTTTTCCAGCACCAGAGTTCAAAGGCCTCCATTCTTTGGTGCTCAGCCTTCCTTATGGTCCAACTTTCACAGCCATCCATTGCAACTGGGAAAACCATAGTAGCCTTGACTATACGTACTTCTGTTGGCAGGGTGATGTCTCTGCTTTATATACTAGGATTTTTTTTAAAAAAAAACTGTCACTCTTTCTCTTGAGTACTGTGTTGGCATGAATACAACCTATGATTTTGCTAAGGGATCAGTTTGCATTGACAAGACTATTTTTTGAACATATTGTATTGATTTTGAATGCTTGGGGGAAAAAAATTCTATTAAGAAACCTGTGAATGCAAAAAAAATTCTTTGAAGGTGACATCTGCCCCCACCCTCTCGGTCTTCTGAAAGTGGCTGAAATCTTGGCTCTGCCAGCTTGACCTGGGCCCCCATGAGGTCATCTACTCTGGAGGGGGTTAGCAGATCAGGAGAAGATTCCACCTTCACCTCATTGATGCTTTGGTCCTTTTTTTTAATAAGATTTTGCGTTCATTATTAATGCTTTTTTTTTAAAATTTGATTTATATGCCACCCTTCTCCGGAGATTCAGGGCAGCTTACAGTGCGTTAAGCAATAGCCTTCATACTTTTGTATATTTTATACAAAGTCAGCTTATTGCCCCCACAAACTGGGTCCTCAATTTACCTACCTTAGAAAGTATGGAAGGCTGAGTCAACCTTGAGCCTGGCAAGATTCGAACTTACTTTAATTGCAGACAGCTGGTGTTAAATTACAGTGCCTTGTCTGCAGAGCTATCCAGGCTCTATCCAGTAATTCTTACTGTTGAATGTTTGCAATTTTTTTCATTGATCTATATGTGCTTTTACAGTGCTGTAAACCAGCCAGAGTCGCTAGACAGTGAAACGGGCAGCATATAAATTTAATAATGGAGATTTTAAAATTTTATTTTAAATAAAAGCATTCTTAACGTACGTGAAGTATTCAAATTGAATACTGCAGATTTTTCTGGAATAGCAGGAGGGTGTCCATCTTGAGGGTGAGCATTGATTGGCTCACTCCCAAAATGATAGGAGTGTTATTCTGTGTTTTGCAACATGATCTAACATGTCGAGAAAACGAATGCTTTGGTTACGATGTTTTTTTTTTTCTTGCCCTCTTGAAATCCTTTCATGCAGGAATCGGGCCGTGAAACTCCATGTTCTACTCGAACATCTAGTGTGAATGGAACGGATGAGGAAAAAACCTCCCACGGGGGGCCCAGCGATGCGCAGCTAAAAATGGAAAACGACAAACTCAGGATTGCCCTTGCCCAGAGGTAAAGCAGTTTTGGAGAGTCATTCATGAACCATGGGTGACACTCGTGACAGGATTTTTATTTATTTATTTATTTATTTATCTTTGTCAAGCGTGTATAAGATAACAGATATAAGCATAAACACAATTATGAATACATTAAATGGATACGAATAAATGAGGACAGTAGGACAGAGATGGAAGGCACGCTGGTGCGCTTATGCACGTATCCCTTTCAGACCTCTTAGGAATGAGGTGAGGTCAGGGGTGAAATCCAGCAGTTTTTACAGGTTCTGGAGAACTGGTAGCGGAAATTTTGAGTAGTTCGGAGAACCGGCAAATACCATCTCTGGCTGGCCCCAGGAATGGGGAGGGAATGGGGATTTTGCAATATCCTTCCCCCAGGAGTGGGGAGGGAATGGGGATTTTGCAGTATTCTTCCCCTGCCATGCCCACCAAGCCACGCCCACCAAGCCATGCCATGCCACGCCCACCAAACCACACCCACAGAACCGGTAGTAGAAAAATTTGAATCCCACCACTGCTTTAAACGATGATGGGTGAAGCTAAGCCATGAGATTTTTGCTGTTATTATTGTTCGTCCGGTTGGAGTTTGGAGATGTTCAGCTTTGTGTGATGTCTGAGCCCAGCCAATTATGTAAAATATACAGGGGGGGAAATAACATGGCTAAAGACAGAATATCCAGGGACAATGTCTCAGTCCAACGTTAATCCACAGGGTTGACTTTTAGGAGACAAACTTCACCAAAGAAGTATCTGAGTTCCTGGAAGAAAGATGGACTATGGAACTAACTAAAAGAATGAATCAAGTAATTATCTCCTTCCATTGATGAGTAAACTACTTGATACCGTATTTCCCTGAAAATAAGACCGGGTCTTATATTAATTTTTGCTCCAAAAGACGCATTAGGGCTTATAGTGTGCCCTATATATATATATATAGTGTGCCATAGGTTTCGCCATCACTGGTATAGGGTCTCGTGCTTGAGCGGGGGGTTGGACTAGATGACCTATAAGGTCCCTTCCAACTCTGTTAATCATCTGTTAATCATGAGAGTGCCCTCTTTTAGGAAAAGAGTGTAGGAATGCAAGGAAACGAGGAACCTAACGGCCGATGTATAACACTAATTTATTTTGTTTACCCTGAAAAAAAACAACAACTGTTAATTGCACAGGTGGAATAGGGAGGGGCATTGCTCTTTTGTTACTTTTGAAAAAAAACAAAATCACAATTAAGCTTGTGCCGACGAATTTCAAGGGTGCCTATGTGTGTTTTCTCGTCTTCAGTACCTCCAATGTGAAGAAATGGGAAATGGAACTGCAGACATTAAGGGAGAGCAACGCCAGGCTCACGACAGCTCTCCAGGAATCGGCAGCCAGCATAGAACACTGGAAAAAGCAGTTTTCCATTAGCAAAGACGAAAACGACCAGCTGCAGAGTAAGGTACGGGATGCCACAAAGGAAAGCATCCAGGGGTGAAATGCTCCCGGTTCGCACCGGATCGCCCGATCCGGTAGCGATGGAGGCGGGTGGTTCGGAGAACCGGTAGCAAAAATCCCTCCCCCCCCATTGCTCAGCTGAGCCGCGCAATCATCATTTTTATTTTAAAAGCATTTTTTTCTACACCCTCTTCGCCCAAAGAGGTTATAGAAAAAATGTTTTTAAAAGGAAAAAAAGAAAAAGCCTCTGCCGATCAGGCAAGTCAGCTGCGATCGTCAGAGGCTTAAAAAAAAAAGAAAAAGCCTCTGCCGATCAGACAAATCAGCTGGGATCGTCAGAGGCTTTAAAAGCATTTTTTTTTTCACCCGAAGAGGTTGTAAAAAAATGGTTTTAAAAGTTAAAAAAAAATGGCCACGCCCACTCAGCCATATTACCCCACCACCACCAAGCCACGCCCACAGAACCGGTAGTAACAAAACTTACATTTCACCACTGAAAGCATCTGTTTTTGCTATTTATTGCTAAGGTCCTCATTAAATCTCATTAAAGAGCTTAAAACTCTTTAAAGATGGAGGTTGCTTTTCTTAAGGTGTCCATCAAAATTGGAAGGGTAATGATAATTTTTTTCATTAGTAATAGCAATAGCATTTAGACTTTACTTTCTGCTCAGCACTCTCTGAGCAAACGTCAGCATTTTGACCCAGTGGTGAAATGTAAAATTTGTTACTACCGGTTCTGTGGCCGTGGCTTGTGGGGGGGGGCAGGTAATGTGACTGGGTGGGCATGGCGAATAGGTTGTAAAAAAAAATGCCTTTAAAAGTAAAAAAAAAAAAGGCTCTGACGATCACAGCTGTGGTGCGCGATCGTCAGAGTCTTTTTTTTTTTACCTTTTAAAAGCAGGAAGTAACGACATCCGGGTGAGTAGGCGGAGCCTCATGCTGCCATCGCTACAGGTTCTTCAAACTACCTGCCACAATTGCTACCGGATTACCCAATCCGGTCCGAACCGGGAGCATTTCACCCCTGTCTTGACCAGTGGTGGGTTCTAAATTTTTTTACTACCGGTTCTGTGGGCGTGGCTTATTTTGTGGGCGTGGTTTGATGGTCATGTGACAAGCAATTCTTTAGGATTTAGCAGAGGTACTGGTCCATCAGGCTTTTAACTGCTTGCAGAGCCGTACCGGTCTACCCATTTGTTTTTGGAGCGCACTGGTCTACCACCACACTGCCTTTTACCGCTGATCAGCTGTAGGGCGGTCCTTTGAAACGCCGCGGCATGAGTTTAAACAGTATTTTGCCGCTCTGCCACCACCGAGAGCATCGGAAACCACTTTCAGGCAACTTGGCCTCAATTGCCAATCTACCACCACCGAGCGGTTTACAAGGAGCGGATCGGTTCTAACCGATCAGTTGGGAGTCTTCTTGGCTTCTCAATTTAAAGCTACGGTGTCTTGTTTTTTTTTTCCTCTTCTTTGTCAAGTGAGCCCTGATTTTTTCCTTCTAGCTGATCCGCTGGGACTCGGGAGGCAGCGAATAGATTGGGGGCGGGGCCAGGCAGAGGTGGTATTTACCGGTTCTCCGAACTACTCAAAATTTCCACTACCGGTTCGCAAGAACCGGGAGAACCGGTAGCCACCCACCACTGGCCTTGACCCCAACAATCTGGCTCCTCATTTTATCGATCTCGGAAGGCTGGAAGGCTGAGTCAACCTTGAGCGGGTCAGGATTCAACTCCAGACTGCGGGCAGAGTTTGTCTGCAATACTGCATTCTAACCCCTGCGCCACCAGGGCTCATTATAAGAAGGGATGATAGTTTTTATAGTTAATGTCGCACGCCATGTTCTCAAAAATCCATCCGAGAGTCCTACTTCAAGGCCAAAGTTAAAGAGGCCATGCGTTTTCTTTCTTTAAGATCGCGGAATTGGAAGAACAGTGCAACGAAATCGATAAGGAACGTGACCGGAACGCACAGCTTAGCAGGCGTCTTCAGGATCTGGAAACGGAACTTCAGGATAAGGAGTTGGTAAGTAAAGCTATGAATGGAAGGAAACAGCTATTAGAGTTGTACGCTTGGTCAAAATGAATCTTTGGAAAAGTAGAGATGCAAAGGTAAGATTTGTTGGGGAAGAATTACTGTATTGGGTCATTCCAGTGGATGGTTTCAATTTTTTTTACTACCGATTCTTTGGGTGTGGCTTGGTGGGTGTGGCTTGGCTTGAGGGGTGTGGCTTGGTGGGCGTGGCAGGGGTAGGATACTGTAAAATCTCCATTCCCTCCCCACTCCAGGGGAAGGTTACTGCAAAATCCCCATTTCCTCCTGATCAGCTGGGACTCAGGGGCAGAGAATAGATGGGGGCGGGGCCAGTCAGACCGAACTACTCAAAATTTCCGCTACCGGTTCTCCAAAACTGGTCAGAACCTGTTGAAACCCATCTCTGGGTCATTCTCATTCAGGCATTTATTCCCTCATATCTGCTTGGCTTTGTCTTCAGAAGCTCATAATAGATATATTTGCTCTCCCAGTTTTATCCCCAAATCAACCACTCTGTAAGGTAGCTTTGGTTAAGAGAGTGAATGACTGACTCATAGGCTTTCAGCGAGAGACAGAGGGTGGGGGAGAGGAGGGAAGGAGGGAGGGAGAGACAGAAAGAAAAAGAAAGAAAGAAAAGGAAAGAAAGAAAGAAAGAAGAAACAAACAAAGAAAGAAAGAAAAAGAAAGAAAGAAAGAAAGAAAGAAAGAAAGAAAGAAAGAAAGAAAGAAAGAAAGAAGAGAGAAAGGCTTTGGTTATACAGGTAGTCCTTGAGTTACAGTATGATGGTCGCTTAATGACTGTTTGAAATTATGATGAATCTTCCTAGGGGTAGCAATAGCACTTAGACTTATATACCACTTCACAGTACTTTACAGCCCCCTCTCTAAGCTGTTTACAGAGCCAGCATATTACCCCCAGTAATCCGGGTCTTCATTTTACCGACCTCGGAAGGATGGAAGGCTGAGTCAACCTTGAGCCAGTCAAAATCGAACTGCTGGCATTTGGCAGTCAGCAGAAGTAGCCTGCAGTACTGCATTCCAGCCACTGCGCCACCACGACTCATAGTTACAACCTGGATTTGAAGTTCTGCTGGTCACCCTCCTGTAGGAGATGACCAGGCTGTGCCTGAGGGTGGGGTCAAGCACATCATCAGTCTGGAGCCCCTATTGCCCCCAAAAGAGACTTACGTCCAGCTTCCCTTGAAGTCCGTTGACTCTTATCTGGCACCAATTTGCCTTGACCATTAGCAACTCAGATTCTTGTTTCTAGATAGCATGGAATAAGCCCACATTGCTTTTCAACTCTATCCTGGCTTCTTGTGCCTGACACCTCCCCTCCCCACATGACCACACTTCAGGCCACATTTATGTCCTGCAGTCACGTGTCCATGTCTTATGACGGTTTCACCAAAACCTGTCTCTTTACTTCCAGTTTTCCGCAAAATCGGCTCAGAACGAACCATTGGTCTGCTTAATGGCCACAGCAAAAGAGGTCATAAAATTGGCTTGGTTACAGCCATCATGAGTCACGGCCATAATTCAATAATACCTGTACTGTATTATATCTTTTAAACATTATGGCTCTAGACTTCTTTTTTTTTAAAGTAATGAGAAGAAGCTGAATGCTATTCTACCATAATAGTAAGTTTTAGAAGACGAGAAAGAAGATTTCTGGCGTTTGAAGTCAGCAGATTAATTTTCTGAGCCAGTTTTGACTGCAGCAGGAAATTAATCAGGTTAACTCCAGGTGTTCCCATACAGGATCAGCTAAGTGGGCCCTTTTTTAAAGCCTTCTTAATAATGGTAAATTGCAGGAAACTGTAGTTAAGACACAGCAGACATGGGGAAGAGAACATGTGAAAGCTTGAAGACGGGGAGCTGGAGATATAATGCCCTCCGGATATTTCCGAACTACTCTTCCCAGCATGCCTCATTATTAGCCATGCTGGAGTGACAGACAGGAGTTATTTGAGGACACTCTTGAACTACAGTTCCTTATTTTCCTCTTCCTTATCCTTTCCAATTTTCCCAACAGACATGCTGCAGGGATTGCAAATTTACCGGAAAACATTACAAATGTAATAGTTCCTGATGCGTTATGTCATAATAAAAGGCATTAATTATACAATAACTACATATAAAAGTCATTATCTCAGCATAATGGAACGTGGTCTTTGGGCAACAGTTCTGCATCTCTTCCAGACTCAAAACCAGGATTTTTTCTCTTTTAATGCCGTCGTTAGAAAGGACCGAGCTTTTTGCCAAAGAATCTCTGCTACATTTTGCCCTTCGTGTTTTGGGTTAAATCGAGCTGCTGAAAACAAGCGTGTGCAACCAGGAGCGTGCTAGGCTTTGGTGCACTGTTGTTTTTCACAACGCTGGCCTCTTTCAAAGAACTCCTGATACAGGTAGTCCTCGACTTACAACAGTTTTTGTTTAGCACCGTTCCAACTTACAACGGCACTGAAAAAAGTGACTTAGGATCATTTTTCATACTTATATGACCTTTGCAGCATCCCCGTGATCAAAATTCAGACGCTTGGCCACTGACTCGTATTTATGACCGTTGCAGCGTTCCCGGGGTCACGTGCTCTCCTTTTGTGACCTTCTAACAAGCAAAGTCCATGGGGAAGCCTGATTCACTTAACAACCAGGTTACTGATTTAACAACGGCAATGATTCATTTAACAACCGTGGCAAGAAAGGGGCACAAAAAATCACTTGACAAATGTTTCACTTAGCAACAGAAATGTTGGGCTTAGTTGCGGTTGTAAGGCGAGGACTACCTGTATACAGAATCAGTTCAGACGAATAGAGGTTGATGCCCAGTTTCAAACACCTTCTGCCAATAAGCTTCAAAGGAAAAAAAAAAACAGCCAAGCCTTTTTCACCCAGCCTTCTCCATGGCTAAAAGCACTCATCCTAATATTTTGTAACTTTCCAGACTCGCGAATGTGACAAGCTGCCTTTTCATTTGTTGGCGAAGGTTTGCCCTGCGTTTGCTTCTCAGGCAGCGCCCTGCCATTAGCAAGCCCCAGCGAGTGCCAGACAGAAAGCTAATTTTGCCTTTGCAAGACAAACCCAGCGTGTGAATTCCCCTCAGAAAGTGTGACAGAAAGAAATTCCCCTCAGAAAGGAGCACATTGGAAACCTGCACTTTAGAAGATAAGATGAGATGAGATGAGATGAGAAGATAGTTAAGATAAGATAAGATAAGATAAGATAAGATAAGATAAGATAAGATAAGATAAGATAAGATAAGATAAGATTGGTAAGGTAAGGTAAGGTAAGGTAAGGTAAGGTAAGGTAAGGTAAGGTAAGGTAAGGTAAGGTAAAATAATCTTTATTATCATTTTTTATTGGCCCACATTATTCTGTTGCCTGCTCGCAAAAGAAAGTAAATATTTACCCAGTAAACATATATACCTACCTACCTACCTACCTACCTACCTACCTACATACATACATACATACATACATATATATATATATGTAGGTCTTTGGTTATTCGGGTTTTCTCCCGCGTAAAATTGGAGGTGTCTTGGCAACGTTTCGACGAAGTCTCATTCGTCATCATGACGAATGAGACTTCATCGAAACGTTGCCAAGACACCTCCAATTTTACGTGGGAGAAAACCCGAATAACCAAAGACCTACATACAAACACCCGCGAAAACCTCAGAAAATATATATATATATACACACACACACGTTTTCTTTTCTTTTCGTAGGCCTTTATGTGTATTTCTCTTTAGCCAAGTTCTTCCTACGTAAACCAAGATTTTTATGCAGCCCTAGTTCAGTGAAATCCCAATCCACTAGTTTCTAGGCTTTTTTCCCCCCAGTAGCCAGCAAGCACCGTGCTCTCCTTAGTCTCCCAATGGGCAGCAGGGAGCTTGCTGGCTGCTGGGGAAAAAAGCCTAGAAACTAGTGGATTGGGATTTCACTGAACTAGGGCTGCATAAAAATCTTGGTTTACGTAGGAAGAACCTGGCTAAAGAGAAATACATACATATATATATGTGTTTTTCCTCTAGCCAGGTTTTTCCTACATAACCAAGGTTTTTCTACAGCCCTAGCTCAGTGGAATCACATCCACTCGATTCTGGGCTTTTTTCTTTCTGGCAGCCAGCAAGTTCTTGCTGCCAGGTAAGAGACTTATATAGATCTATTTCTGGCTCGTTAGCCATCATCAGTAAGCCACACCCACATCTCATGTATCCTCCTTGTAAAGGTACAATATCTATTTTCTTACTTCTGTGGGTGTGGCTTGGTGGGCGTGGCAGGGGAAGGATATTGCAAAATCTCCATTCCCACCCCACTCCAGGGGAAGGATACTGCAAAATTCTAGTCTCACTTTACTCATCAACTGACCAGTCCCTCTCTCTCTCAACCCAACCCACCTCACAGGATTGTTGCATGGAGAAAATAGGAGGAGGAATGTATGTTGGAGATATTAGCTGCCTTGAGTTGCTTATAAAAATAATAAAGGCAGGATATAAATAAATAAAAAGAGTATTCTCCAGCCATTTAAAATGCTATCTTCTATCTTGCAGTTATAATGCACTTTATTCCCCTATCCCAGGGGTCAACAACCATAAACTCTCAAAGAGCCATTTGGATCAGTTTCAATGACGCATGAAATTAAGCGTTCTGTTTTCTTCTGAAACTTTTCTTTTCTTGGATTTATCCATGGTTCGCCTACCGGGGGTCGAAAAGCTCAATAAATTGCATGCCGGCGGGTGTCGCACATTGGCGGTTGTGATGCATATTTGGAGTGACAGGGAACCGCAGCAGAGGGATAAAAGAGCCACATGCGGCTCCAGAGCCACAGGTTGCAGATCCCTGCCCTATCAGCTAGTTGGCGCTATCCACTTGGCTGGTGCTGATTTTGCTATTTTTTGGGAAAGAGCTTCTCTGGAGCCAGTCCATCCAAAACATTGGTAATGGAACAACTTTTTAATGAAATCCCTTCCCCAACCATTCTAGGTTTTTTTTCCCAAGATATTGTCTTGAAAGCTAAGAATCACCCTATTTGTTTGCAGTGGATGTTGCTATTTTAATACATTATCTTCCCCCATGCCGCCCAAGGGTAACACAACATTTTAATGTATAAATATATCTGTGTATTTGGACTATTTATTAAAGCAGAAGGTATCATTAAATGTTGAAATTATTGCTAAATTTGCAGTAAAGCACAGCAAGAAGACATGTTTTCCCCTTAAGTTAATATTTTAATGATTCATTTCCTTTGACAGCGGAAAGTTCCCCGAGTACTCAGGTGCTAATGCTTTCTTCTAATGTCTTAAATATATATTTAAGAAGGTGGGAAGGTGAGGATGTATGTGATTATAATTTCATGGCATGCATATTTCTCCAGGAATTGGAAGATCTACGGAAACAGGGTGAAATTATACCTCAGCTCATGACAGAATGTGAAACGGTTTCTCAGAAATTGCAGGTATGAATAGTTATTAGTCTTTGGTAAAACATTTTGTGGTTTAAATAAAAGATTGCTTCAAATCTACAGCCAATATCTTTTTCTTACAGGCAGGAGACAGGGCCAACGGGTGTGATTCATTCTGATATAAGTCAGGAGAATTAAATAGGTTCTCAGAGAAGCCAAAGATTGAGAATAGGTAGCCCTCTAGGCTGAGAACTCAACTCCCATCATCCCCCACCATTAGCCCTACTGGTTGTGGCTGATGGTAGTTGCCTGTCATTCAGCAATATCTTTAGAGGGTTACAGATTCCTCATCTCTACAGATTCCTCATCTCTATAAGAAGGTTTAACTGCAATATGTTCATCTTGTTTACACATTTAAACTATTCTTCCCATGTATGATTTGAAAATATTCTTCCCATTCTTGAATGGAAATCATACCAACTACTAAAGTCACAAGGCAATAAGGCTGTGGTATTTAATCACCAGTGGCATTTGTAGGTCAGCGGTCCAAACCCAATGCCCGCTAATTCCATTTTCAAACAGGTAATGAGATTTTGTTTTTTTCTTTGAAGAGGTTTCACTTCTTCAGTTCCGACTGAATGGGGGAGAATGGAAGGATTTAAATTCCTTGAAGTCATCTTTCTAAGAGTCGTTGAGGCTACTTGGAGGTTCATCTATGCCCTCAGGGTCACCTAAATAACGAACAGGGTTCCCAGGGTGCGCATGCGCAGAGTGGCCAGGAGAAGGGAACAGCTAAGGAACAAGGGTCGACTCAGGAGTAAAGCCACAGGTGGACGGTGAATGACCCCTCCCATAGGGAATAAAGAGGAGCGAAAGGGGAGTGGAGTTTGCAGGAGACAATTAGTTCGCTTAATTGGTTCATGACTCTCAAGAGATTCCTTGCCAAGTGTTGAAGATATCAGCTTGGCAGCTCTCCAAGCCAGATAAGGTCTGTGATTGTAAATTCTTCCTTGAAAGACTTTGCTGGATATGAATGAAAGGAATTCACAGTAACTTAATAAAAAGGGAATTTTGTCGGGACAAGGAGTCTGCTTGGTGCTTTTTGGGGAAGCCTAAGTCAGAACACCATTCTTCAAACTAACTTTCTGTTTTGCAGGCGGCTGAGAAAAGGAATAAAGACCTGGAAGAGAAAGTCCGAGCTTTACGGACGGAAGTAGAAGAGAGCAAACACCGGCAGAATAACTTGAAGACGGAGTTACAAACTTTTTTAGATGTACTCGACGGAAAGATAGATGAATTGCAGGATTTTCGGCAAGGACTCTCGAAACTGGGTGTCGACAATTAAGGGGACAGCCATTTTTCCCCACCCCCAAAATATTTGGCGTGTATGTGTGTGTGTGTGTGTGTACTTGTTCTAAACCTAGGTATATGTTTCTACAAAACGTGAAACGATGGTTGTTCTTCCTTAACAATGTGATTTGTACATAGAGGCTAAAGATTTTTTTTCCCACTTCTTTTTTTTTTTCCATTCTAAACTTTTCTCCTTGCTTCTTCCTTCCTTTCTTTAAGAAAGAGGTGACAGTTTTTTTTTTTAAATCTTACTGCTCTAGCCCATTCTGGGTTTATATAAACAAATGCGGGGGTGGGTGGGAATTCTCTTGTCTCAGGAGATCTGAACCTCAGTTTACCTTAACGTAAAGTTGCAGTTGCAGTAGGCGTTGTAATGGAGATTTTGATTTAAGGCCTGCTGCACCTGTAGAATGGAGACATTTTTCCAAAATACTCAGCTGCTGTTGATTTATGCCTCGTTTTATAGTGCAGACACAGGGGAAGATGGAACAGAGATTTTAGGAGCAACCATAGAGTAGCAACTCTTCAGAGCCTTAAGGAACAAATGAGAAAAGCCACATTCAAAAGTCCGTATTGCAACATCTTTCTTCTCTTCCTCTTCCTCTTCCTCTTCCTCTTCTTTTTCCTCCTCCTCCTCCTCCTCCTCCTTCTCATACTACTCTCCCTCCTCCTCCTCCCTCATTCTCATACTACTCTCCCTCCTCCTCCTCCTTCTCGTACTACTCTCGTGCCTTCTCCTCCTTCTTCTCTACTACTCTCCCTCCTCCTTCTCCTTCTCATATTACTCTCCCTCCTCCTCCTCCTCCTTCTCGTACTACTCTCCTCCTCCTTCTCATACTACTCTCCCTCCTCCTCCTCCTTCTCTACTACTTTCCCTCCTCCTTCTAATTCTCGTATTACTCTCCCTCCTCCTCCTTCTCAATCTTGTACTACTCTCCCTTCTCCTTCTCATACTACTCTCCCTCCTTCTCCTCCTCCTCTCCTTCCTCCTCCTCCTTCTCGTACTACCCTCCCTCCTCCTCCTCCTTCTCTACTACTCTCCCTCTTCCTTCTCGTACTACCCTCCCTCCTCCTCCTCCTCCTTCTCCTCATACTACTCCCCCTCCTCCCCCTCCTCCTCCTCCTCGTACTACCTTCCCTCCTCCTCCTCCTTGAAATACCTGCGATGCCTTTTTCTAGAGGATTTGCCATGTTCAATAATGTGCACTTAAAAACCTTTTTTTTTTTTTTAGATTGCAACAGATTAAGTGAAGGTTTCCCTGTCACTTTGGGCAGAATGAATGTGGCCTTTGTGATGCCCCTGGTGAATTTTTCAAGAAGTGTGGATGATATATTAGCTATTACACTATAGAGAAGTTGGACTTCTTTTAATGCATCCCCCCCCCCCAATAATGAAGGTGGGACCAAACGGTGCTCTTCAGGTCTATCACAAGAGGTTGGAGCAGAATTTTTGTATTCAGGATAGATGCATTTATTTGAGAACATTCATGACCTGCCTGGCTTGTAACAAGTAAATTTACTCACGATGATCTAAAATATATAATCATCATCACAGTGACAAAATGATAGGAGCCAGGGAAAATAAGGTGGAAAATCTTGTTCTCCACACAGAATAACTATAAAGTATAGCTGTGTAGCTAGAGTCAAAAATTGGAGTTTCTTGACAGAACACATGTTTTGAGGATGTAACATTTAAGTCAAGAACATCTACCTACCTATCTATCTATCCATCTATCCATCTATCCATCTATCATCTATCTATCATCTATCTATCATCCATCATTCATCATCCATCATCCATCATCCATCATCCATCATCCATCATCCATCACATCCATCCATCCATCTATCTATCTATCTATCTATCTATCTATCTATCTATCTAATCTATCATCTATCTGTATCTGGCTATCTAACTATCTATGATAGGAAGAGCCAAATTTTGAAGCCAAATCTCCAAGTCCATCAACAGATTCAATTCCATCTTCTCAAGTTCTTCCCCTTTGGTCTCAAAATCTTCTCATATACAGAGAATTTGTCCAACAGGAGACCTCTCTCCAGATGAACAGAACATCAATAAGGTGAACTTGCTTGGAAAAACTATGAAAGCCTATTGAAGTGGCAAATGGGCGGCCCCCACAGTGGCTTGGGACACCCACTAACTGACTAAGAAGTGTTAGCTTAGGATGGGGTCATGATTTGTGCCCTCTTTAAGGAAACATCATATTGTCTTATGATCTGTCAAGCGCCAGGAAAATTAGGAGATCCAGACAGTTCGAACGGTTATCAAGATTTCTTTTTGGAAGCTTAAGCTCTCTACAAGAATCTGAACTACTAACAGCCAAGGGAAATTAGCGGGAGATAAGAGTAGAAGGAATTCAATATGGGCTGGATTTAGATCTCTTGTGGGCGCGAAGGGACTCATGACTGATGACACATTTGACCCCCCCCTCCCTCGGGCTCATCCTGGTCATCTCCTACATCGTCTTCCTACTAGGATTATATGTTTGCTTCTTATCCATCTTCTTTCCCTTGGATTTGTTCCCAGCTCTTCTTGAAACAATCTATATTAAAGGCACTTTTGTGGAGGTGTTTGAAACCAATGCTTTTTTCCCCCCTCCTTTTTTTTTCTTTGAAAATGTCAACTAGGCATGTTCCTTTGAAAGCAATTATAAATAAGGTTCAGCTGAAGCCGAAGAAAGTTTTTAAAAAGCTGTTTCTTTCTTTCTGTTTTTTTTTTTTAACTTCCTCATTAATTGTCTCAGCCTTCGTAGACTTTCTATCATGATTAGATATCTGGACTTACAATGGAAACATAGACTATTTACGAAACGGGTGTTTGTCACAGGGATTGGCTTTATGGGCTCGCAATCTGGGTCAGATTATTTATAAAATTGGCTTAAATATTTATGATACATTCAGGAGTAATAAAATATCAGAGGTGAGAAATGGTACAATGAGGCATCTGATAAAAGAGCATTAGGAATATGCAGCTAATAATAGTCAGCCTGCAGAGGGGGAAAATAGAGACTCTAAGCTGCTTATCTAAATATCCTCATAGATCACCGAATAATTTTATAGTTTGACATATTCTGGTGATCCAACCAGGCTGATAGGAAAGAAGCTTTTTTTTAAAAAGGTGCCTAATCATTGAAAAATGTTTTATATCTACAGGTAGTCTTCGACATACGACCACAATTGAGCCCAAAATGTCTGTTGTTCAGTGAGACATTGGTTAAGTGAGCTTTGCCCCATTTTACAACCTTTCTTGCCACAGTCGCTAAGTGAATCACCGCAGTTGTTTAAGTCAGTGACACGGCTGTTAAGTGAATCTGGCTTCCCCGTTGACTTCGCTTGTCAGAAGGTCGCCAAAAGGAATCACACGATCACAAGCATTTGATCACATGGTTGTAAGTGCGGGAAAACGGTCGCAAGTCATTTTTTTCAGTGCCGTGGTAATTTCGAACGGTCACTAAACAAACTGTTGTAAGTCGAGGACTACCTGTGTCAGTGGAATATCAGATGATCCGTATCACCCTTTAGCTTGACTCAGTTTAAATTGTGGGATGGCTTCTATGATCCAGGCACGGGAGGGGATTAATCCTGTGCTGGTATTCAGCCGGTTCTATCCGGTTTGAGCAAACCGGTAGCGATGGCGGTGGGAGGCCCCACCCATCCAGATGTAATCACATCCCGTTTTTGACACTCTGCACATGTGCAGAAGGTCCTGCGTGCGCTCACATTTGCGAACCGGTAGCGAAGGTAAGTGAATACCACTCCTGGATTAATCACCTTATTTTCTAATACTGCTCAGCAATAATTTTATTTAGCCATATGTTACCCAAGAAGATAGGGTTGTGGGGAACAATAAGGTGCACGCTAAATTCTCAATCTCGCACAATTGTCTTGAGTAAGCTTTGTGAGTGGCAGTGCGGTCAAAATCCCGAGGAAACAACTTCTTCCATCTTTTTGTATGTTTTAAAATTGCGTTTTCCTATATAGCGCATCAGCTTAAGAAATCAGCTATATCCTTTCCCGGTAATTCACAAAGATGGGAATATTTTTAAGATGATCCCAAAGGTGTTTAGAAGTTATTACAGGTAATCTTTGAACTTACAACCTCAGTTTGGACTGGAATTTCCATTGCTAAGAGATAGCAACAGCACTTCGACTTATATACCGCTTCACAGTGCTTTTACAGCCCTTTCTAAGCGGTTTACAAAGTCAGCATATTGCCCTCAACAATCTGGGTCCTCGGAACCGAACTCGGAAAGATGGAAGGCTGAGTCAACCTTGAGCCGGTCAGGATCGAACTACTGGCAGTGGACAGTGAGTTAGCCAGCAATACTGCATTCTAACTACTGCGCCACTACGGCAGTCATTAAGTGAGTCACACCCAATTTTATTACCTTTTTGCCACAGATGTTAAGCAAATCAGCGTGGTTGTTAATTGAAAAATGTCATTAAGTGAATCCGGCTTTCCCAGTTGCCTTTCCTTGTCAGAAGTCCCCTAAGAAGGTGACAGATAGTGATAATGTGATCCAGGATGCTACATCTTGTATATTGTATACAATATTATACATATTGTAAATACGGTACAGGCCAGTTGCCAAGTAACAGAATTTTGTTCACAAAATCACAGGGGTGCTGCAGCAGTCGTAAATAGGAGGACTAATTGTTAGTCACTTTTTCAGTGCTGTTGAAACTTCAGTTTTAAGAAGAGATTGGACAACCATTTGTCTGAAATGGTATAGGGCCGTGATGGCAAACCTATGGCATGGGTGCCACAGGTGGCACGCGGAGCCATATTGGTGGGCACGCAAATGTTGCCCTAGCTCAGCTCCAGCGTGCATGCACGCACCGGCCAACTGATTTTCAGGCCTTCCAGTCCCACTGGAAGTCGGGAAACTGGCAGTTTCCGGCCTCCGGAAGACCTCTGGGAGGATAGGGAAGGCTGTTTTTGCCCTCCCCAGGCTCCTAGAAAGCCTCTGGAGCCTGGGGAGGGGGAAAATGGGCCTACCGGGCCCACCGGGCCATCACTTGCCAAAAGCAGGGGGAAGTGTGGGGGGGACACATGCGCATGCGCGAGAGGGCGGGGTGCATTGAATTATGGATGTGGGCACCCGCGACCCCCCACGCTCCCTCCTCTTTTGGCACGCGACGGCAAAAAGGTTAGCCATCACTG